CGCTCAGCCCGCGTCGCGCGGGGCCGGACAAAGCTGGGTCCGCGCGCCCCTCCGGCCCGGGGTTTCGTTGCGCTGGGGCTCGGCCCGCCGCAGACTTCGCGGAGAACTTTCGGAGGAGGCCGGGAGGGTGGGCTCCGCCGCGTAAATCCTTAGGTGTTTCCCTTGGCCAGCTGCTGGCGACGTCGAATCATCAGGTGGGGGTCGGATAAACTAGAACAATCGGCTGTAAGTGGCCGGAGGTTGTTCGGGTTTTACGTGCTGCCTGGCCCCTGCGTGTGTAGCCTCGGGTGAATTTTACCCAGCAGCGGCAACGAGGTCGGTTTGCAAAACCGGAACGTTCGGGAGCAGCACCTGCTTTTGCTGGAGCAATGTGGGTGTAGTAGCTGTTTCGCTGAACTTTCTGCTGGTTTGTTGAACTGTACGTGTAACACACTGACTTTGGAGACCTATTTTTGTGATAGTTTAAGAAAAGAAAGATCAGCGAAGTGTCCTTCCGCTACTTTGGCGCACATTTTATCCTCGTATTTATGGGGGGAGGTCTTCATTTTTAGAAGTCAGTTGCTTTGTGTGTTACAGTAAACCTTTGCATGTTTTTCTAATGAGTTACTGCGTAAGGGAAGTAGGTGTGCCCTGGCTCTCCTTTGCCCTCCTAACACACTTTTTGCGTGTCCTGTTTTCACACTCGTGCGGCTCGTTAATTTATCCTTAGTGGTTGGTGCTATTTGGAGAATTTAGGATTCTTTGGCAGAACCCTGATTTCATGAATTCATATATCCAAAGTGGGCCACAGTTCGTTTCTGCAGACTTGTTACCTTGGAATTAGATGAAAAGATTTGATAAAAGACTTCTCAAAAAAAAAGTGACTGTTTCAGACTTTATGAACATTGTATAATTGTTATAAAGTGACTTAATGAGGTACCGATAGTAATTTTTAACAGTCACGCTAGAACTTGTACATAGCTAAAGTTTGCCAGACACAGTTTTCTGTGTACCCCAGCCTATGTTAATGGAGGTTCATAAAGCATTCTTACAGTATTAGCCTTATTTTATAGGTGGGTGACAGAGACTTAGAGATAAGCACATTTAAAGTAAAGCAACTAACACGTGTTTTGAGTTCAGATCAGAATCCAAACTCTTAACCCTGTCACCACTAAGCCACATGAGGTGACTTTGGCTTTTAAAATGGGTGCTGCTTTTATGTCCACAATACTGGCATTGCGTGGAATACTGTGGGAAAAGATAAAAACGTCATTGAAATTCTGCTTTTAAAATGTTCAGCCCTCAGCATAGTTTTATAAATATCCTCAGTTGCAGGAAGGGGAGACTGAGCAAATCACCAAACAGGATAGGTTGTGGTCATCCAGTGAAGTACATTAACAGAAGAGGGGAGCGTCATCGTAATGGCGAATAGTGAGAGCACCCCACCCTTAGCGCGTGTGTAGGGGAGAGAAGGGGCTTTTCTCTCTCAGCGATGAGAAGTCTGAGGGGTGAGGTAGTGTGGAAACAGCTGCTTTCAGGGTTTGGCGTAGGTTGCCCTGAAGTCACCTCTGAGATGGTGGAAGCAGCAGGAAGACAGGAGCAAAGGTTTATGCAGCAGGCCAGGCATAACCTGACAGTGGTAGTGGAGATAAGCATTTAGGTCCTGAGACTGGTCCCTTGCCGAGGGGCTGTGCTCGTGGGCAAGGAAGAGGGAGGACGCAAAGGGTGACCCCTTGGTGCAGGGGTTCAGCAGCTGGTCAGTCCACTACTGGGCAGAGCAGCTTTCCAGAAGAAGATCAGTTCTTCTTGTGTGCAGTTGTGTGCAGGCTTTGGAGTCAGTCGCCTTGCTGCAAATCCAAACTCTGCCACTTAACCAGCTGGGCAGCCTTCTCTGTGCCTGTCACTGCAAGATAGCACTGCTGTCTCAGACTTTTGGGTGAGGCTAGATGAGCTAATGCAGGTAACATGCTCCCCACGAGGCCCACAGCACTTTATAATGTTGGGATTATTTGCCAGGCGTGGTGGCGCACGCCTATAATCCCAGCATTCGGGAGGCTGAGGCAGGAGGATTGTTGTGAGTTCAAGACCAGCCTGGGCTGCAAAGTGAGCTTGAGGCCGGCCTGAACTGCACAGTTGGTGACTGTTTGATAGCTGATACTAAATACATCTGCATAGTCTACTGGTCTTGACCTGTTTCAAGTTTAATCTTACACTGTATTCTTTTATGATAAATGGATTTTAGTTCCATCAAGAGAAAGACATTTGCTGGAGGAGGATAGTGGTACAAGATTTAAACATTTTTCTTGCTTTCTCTGAGGTTGTTTTCTTGGTTTTCTAAGTGGGAGAGGGTTCATCTTTTTGAAAAGTATACAGCAATACACTTGCTCTTTTTCCCTGCAGTATATGTGTTTAATCTTCTGTTATATGCAGATTCAAGGTGAACAAGCTCCTGTGAAAAGTTGCTTAACTGAAACATAATTTAAATTCATTTCCTAAATTTTAAGGTTAAACAGGTTAAAAATTTTTTTAGAAAACCATACTGAGAAGATTTAAAAAATGAAAATGCCACCCTGTTCATTTCTCCATAGTCTGAAGTTAGGGTTATTATGAAGACCCAAACGGCCCCTCCTGAGATGGGCCGCTCCACTCACAGGGAAGAGCTGTCAGTGGCAGAAGTCAGTGTGTATCGCTTCTTCTGTCTTCATGTTTATAAATGAACTTTGGCAAAGCTATCGCGTTTGTTACACAGCTCGGAGCTCTCCGTCTGGAAAGATCTAATATTACAGTTTTAAATGTACTGATAGCTCCAAGGTATGTTTCATAGCAACCACGACAAAAGTAGAACTTCCTGTGGAATAATATACCCTCCCCCACACACCACCGCCCTGGGGGCAGAAAGGAACTTGTCGCCAGTGTTCTTAGCTTAATATTAAATGCTCTTTCATAACAGGATCTCTCTCTCTCTTTTTTTTTTTAATAGAATCTCCACGGGTTCCTGTCCCACTGGCCAACTCCAGTGCTAACCTAACAGGTGAGTTTTACAAGATCTGTGAAATGGATTTTCTTCTATTTGGGGTACCTGAAATTTGAACAGCCAGAGAAGAACATGTAAGCTAGTACACTGTCCTAACCACGATTCATTCATGAATCACTGTAGCCTACCTGAAAGACGGCCCTGTGTAGACATTAGTAATGATAGTTCACTAGATTTAGTAGTCTTTTGTCAGTCTAGCAAAGCTGTAATTTTTAAAACATGAGCATATTGGAAGTTTATACTACGAGTTTTGAAGCGCATTTTTTTTTTAGGCACATTTTAGGTGGTGGATATTTTATATTCTGTCTTTGGATATGTAATACGAGTGTGTAAGTCTGCAGATCTTGCTAATGAAGCAAGTTCTAAACTGGTCAGCCACTGTGACTATGTTCTGGCTGATTCTAGGGAGATACTGCTGATGTGTCAGCTGGCAGTCATCAACCTGCCATCTTGTTTCTCTTTTGAAACAATTGATTAGATCCTTTCCCTGTCCTTGGTTTTTATTTTGTTCTGTTCCATTCTGTTTTGTTTTGTTTGTCTTTTTGAGACAGGGTCTCAGTGTGCAGTTCAGGCTGGCCTTGAGCTTACTTTGTAGCCCAGGCTGGTCTCAAACTCACAAACAATGATCCTCCTGCCTCAGCCTCCCGAGTGCTGCGGTTACAGGCGTGTGCCACCACGCCTGACTCCTGGTCCTTCTAGTGTGAATCAAGTGGAATTCTTGGACTTGTGTTCAGAAGCGTAGAAAGATGCAGGAACCAGGCAGACGTCAGTGTCAGTAGACCGACGAAGGAGGGGTTCTCATGGCAGTGGTTAGGAGATTTTCTGTTTACCCTTATTTTTTGTAGTTCACCAAGTTGGAAGCTAGAAAAAGTTACACATGTCCTGTGGGTAGACTCGTTTCTGTGCTTTCTCAGCAAATATACATCGAGTATCTCTACCTCACTGATGTGTTCCAAGCACTAAGGATACAAAATCGGCCAATCTCCAGTTCTTCGGAGTTTTTGTTTATTTTGTTATTGTAGTAAAATAAAACAAAATTTCCTGTTTGTAACCATTTTTTACTTTACGCTTTATGATTTTAAGTTTTAGGTCTACAGTTCCCTGGCGTGAAGTTCACTCCCGTTATTGTGCAGCTTCCTGGGGTTTTCTCGCAGGTCCCCTAGTGTTCCACGGAGCTGGTGTTCACAGTTTCCCGCTTTGGTCTGCCCTTCGTACTGGTGTACGGTAGAGCAGTCGGGATATGCTTTTGTTCTGGTTTTAGTGATTCGATGGAATAAGTTTTGTCTTGGAGGAAGAGGACGAGATAATCTCAAATGGAATAGCCACTGTTGAATGGTTGTGAGAGTTTTTCCAAAAATACTTTATTAGTTGTCTTTTCCTGTTGGCCTTTATCAAATCTGATCGTGCACTACGAAAGTATTAACTTCAGATAAACCAGGACGGTAGGAGAGAGGCCAAGGTGACTATCAACAGTAACAACAGCCACCATTTGTTGAATGCCTCCGGTTTAGAAAGTGTTTTCCAAATAGTGATAAAGTGGCCGTCATCACTTTTTGTTCTTGTTTTTTGTCTTTTTGGACAGGGTCTCACTTTTCAGCTCCATGCACAGGTTTCCGCCCCCGTGGGCATGAGGAAGTCCCATAGGCCTTTCCATTATTAAGTGCTAGGTTTCTTTGTGTTTTTTTTTTTTTTTTTTTTT